ACATGTGAGGGTTCCAAGGAGGTGGGGGTCCCAGGGAGGTATGGGGATCTCAGAGGGGAGGTGGGGGTTGCAGGGAGATACAGGGTGGGGCCAGGGGACATGCGGGGGTCCCAGGGAAGTGTTGGGGGTCCCTGGGACATGTGGGAGTCCCAGGGAGGTATGGGAATCTCAGAGAGATGTGGGGATCCCAGGGAGGTATGGGGTGGGTCCAAGGATGCGGGGGTCCTAGAGAGGTGGGGGTCCATGGGGAGGTTGGGATTGCCAGGAATATGGGGGGACCCAGGGATATGTGCTGATTCCGGGGAGGTGGGGAGGCCATGGACTCTGCCCCACTGCTCACTGCCTTCTCTCCATCAGCTCTCCTGGTGTACCGGGTGTTCAGGAACGAGGCCAGGCGCTCCACCAAAGCGCTGCACGCACTGCTGCACGGTCTGGCACTGCTCATCGCGCTCGTTGGTGGGTGCTGTGGGTGGGGGGCAGTGAATGGGGACCCCACCCCAGTGCTGATGAGCTCCTTTCTGCAGGCCTCGTGGCCGTCTTTGAGTCGCACCGTGCCAAAGGCATCTCCAACATGTACAGCCTGCACAGCTGGTGCGGGATGGCTGCCTTTGTGCTCTACCTCCTGCAGGTGAGTGCTCGCAGCCCATGGGGAGCTATGGGTTGGTTGCCTGTAGGGCTGGGCATCCTCTGATGCCCCAATAACCTGCAGTGGCTCCTGGGCTGTGGCTTCTTCCTGGTGCCTGGCACATCCTTCTCGCTGCGTGGCCGTTACAAACCCCATCACGTCTTCTTCGGCATCGCCCTCTTTGCCTTCTCCATCGCCACCTGCCTGTTGGGCATCACTGAGATGTTGCTCTTCAACATCAGGTGCGTGACCGACCTGGGTGGGTTGTAGCCCCCAGACTGCCATTAAGGGCTGTTCCAGACCCTGCCTGTGGGGCAGAGCCCAGCCCCTGCCCAGGCTGCGGTTCTGTGGCCGTGAATCACCCTGAGAGTTTGAGTTGTGCTGGTGCTGAGTCACATCCCACACGCTGTTTAATAGGGGCCTGCAGCAGCTTTTTCCTTTGGTCCTAATGGGGCATATAATCAGCACTACAGCTGCTCTGCAGCCAGATGCATGCATAACCACCCTGGGAAGCTCAGGTCCCCCAAAAAACCTCTGCCTACTTGCTGGGAGGATGCAGGATGTCCCACATCCCTGAGAGCCCCACATGCACCCAGCTGCATGGTATGGGGCCAGGCTGCATGTAGGGTCTCTTCGCAAAGCAGTCTCACTTCTTGCTGATTTGGGGACAAAGGACCTTTCCCAATGTCTGTACCTGCCTGTGGAGGTACTGCAGCTTCCTCCAGGAAGAGGAAAGTGAGGATGAGAGGGGTTCCAGCCCTGGTAGGGATGGTCACCCACACCTGCAAAGCTCAAGCATCCCCGTCTGCACCCACAGGGACTCCTACAGCCACTTTGTGCCAGAGGGAGTCCTGGCCAACGTGCTGGGGCTGCTGCTGGTGGCCTTTGGGTTGGTGGTGGGCTACGTGCTGACACGGGATGACTGGAAGCGGGCACCGCTGGCCGAGGAGATGGCCCTCTCCATGGACTTCAAGACACTCACGGAGGGTGAGAGCCCTGGAGGCAGCCAGTGAGGCCCCCAGCTGCCCGGTCCTGGTGGATGTTGGATGTCTTTGCGTGCCCCAGCTCCATGCCCAGTATTGGTGAGCAGAGCCTTCGCTCGGGGCTCCCTCTGCATCTTCTATGTGTGGATGGAGGTGCCACCACAGATAGCGTCCCCAGGCTCAGCATCTCCCTACTGCCAACCTCCAAAGCCCATTCCCATCTCTTTGTGCCAAGCAGTAGATTGGATGAATCCCTTCACCAACATTTCCACGTGTTCTCAGCCCTCCAGGGCTGCAGCCACCCAAGTTCCCCTGCAGCTCCAAGCAATGCCACGTCTGTGCAACTTAACATCAGTGTGTTTAAAATGTTTTCCCCTCTTGTGCAATGTGTCATCTGCAAAGTGAACGCTCCTGCCTTAATAAAGATTTGCAGCTAACCCTGCCTCTCACCAGCACTCATCATTTCGGGTACCCCAAAGCACCTCCCATTGCCCCGGGTTGGGCAGAACCAGGCTGCTCCCACCCTCACCCGCTGCCATCTGAGGTCTTTCACGTGAGGTTGGGAACCACCATCAGTCCAAAGGCTGTTTCCAAGTGTTAACCATTTATAAATAAGTACATTTTTTTTTTTTCATACATACAGTTTTCATTGTACAGATTACAATCTGTATACATTGGGGTGAGGGGGGGGGAAATGCATTCTTTTGAACTTTTCACATCTATCTCACAGCTCACATGTACAGACAAGAAAACTCTGCTCAAGCAAATACAGCAAAGGAAAAAATATGTTTTCTTCTTTCCTTATACACGAGAGGCGAAGGCCTCTGCTGTCCGCAGGGGTTGTCCTCCCCACTGCACAATGTCACAACTGTGTGGTGTTCAATATATCATCAGTAGAGAGAACAGAACATGCATTGAATAATATACTGTACAGAGAAAGTCCTTTACATCGGAATTATAGAAAAGCTAAAGGAAAATTAAGTGTCTTAAAGATCTTCCCAGCAAGTGTCTCGAAGGATGGCAACCAGGGGGATTGTACAAATCACAAAATGTGCATTACTGTACAGGTCTGTACCAACTCGGATCCTCTCGGAAGTGAAGACAGAAACGGACAAAACGCTGAATGCAACACTATGGGAAAGGGAAGGCCGGGCAGGAGCGACACCTGCAGCGCTGGAAGTCCACACCAGTCCGTAGGTCAGCAAGGAGCGAAGGCGAAGCGACCGCCTCTCCTGGGCCGAGGCGCCCACCCACCCCAACCCCGTGGGGTCCCGGCGCCCACCTGCCTCCCGCGGGGCTCCCCCACCAGGGACCAAGTCCTTCTTGCAAAGCTGGCGTGGCACTGAGACGCGGCGGTGGCCGGGAGGGGAGGAGGCGGCGGATCCCATTGGTGTCCATTCACTGCAGAGCTGATGACTGCGTGAGCTCCGGTTTTCTTTCGGGTGGATCTGGAGCAGTTTCCAGTGAGATCCAGCTGCCGTCAGTTGGACACGAACGCACCTTGCTAAAGAATTGAGCCCTTAGTGGTTTTAGATTAGAAAAAGAGTTTGATTGAATGAAAATCCAGCAATTATCCAAACAAATCTGAAAAAAAGCAGATTGACTTTCACCGTTGTGCTTGTGTCCAAATGCACCCCAGCGGCGTCGGGGAGCGCAACCATCCGGGAGCGAAGGCGTTCTCTGCAGAGATCCCCGTGCCGCGCCGTGCCCTCAGCCCTTCTCACAACACCTGGAGTCGTCGGCGACCCCGAAGACAAATCCGAGCCCAAACCCACCAAGGAGTGACCCAGGACCTCCTCTGCAACCAACAGGCACGGCGGCTTGCTTGTTTCTCTAGGTAAGGCGGAGCTGGCACTTGGGTTCAGCTAGACTTCTTCTGGGTAACCCTGAATTCACAACTGCCTTTGTACGAGGGGACTGCATCGCCGCCCGTTCCGTACCACCCCGCTTCAGGACCTAACCCACATATGGCTTAGGCATGATGCACGCACACAGTTTACGCTAGCTAAGCAGGTTTCTTTACAGCCACGTGAAATTAAAAACAAAACAAAACGAAACAACACAACAAAGTTCAGCCCTGGATGAAGCAGCGCAGGGTGGGCAGCCCAGGCTGCAGCTCTGGGCTGGACCAAGGACCTCAGCTTTGGAACATCTTCCCTTTGCCAAACACTTCTATCAGTCCCTCAGGGCTGTTGTCAGAGCCCTCCAATGTCCTGCCCAGCATGTAGGGGCAGCAGCATGACTGCACGATGCAGGCACCCCGCCTGGCACCGCAGCATCCTTCATCCTGGGGCACAAACCAGAACTACGTGAATCTACACTGGAGCACAAACCAGAACCATGTGAATCTACACCAGGGCACAAACCAGATCCATGTGATTCCAAACCAGGGCACAAACCACAGCTGCGACCCCACACTGTGCCACAGCAGCCCCACACTGAGGTTGTGGCTCTGCAATACAGAGTGCAAGGGACATCTGCTGGTGCTGCAGCTCAATACAGGTGTGTGCTCCCACACTGCTGACCAAACGCACCCCAAGAACCAAATCCAGAGGGTTTCATAGTTGCCAATGATCTCGGTGCACCCTAAAGGACCCTGCAAGATGCAAGAAACCCGAATGGGAGTTACTGAAAGAAGCTGAAGGCACAGCACAGCGTGGGGCACTACGGTCTGCAGCAAAGACACGGCAGTGAGGGGACGTGGGGTGAGACTGGAGCAAGGAGGGCACTTCCCAACGGGACCACAAACACACACTGACCTCTGCTCCTGCGTGAGCGAACCCGAGCGTGATGCTGGGGGAAGAGAGCAGCTCCTCACCCCTATGAGAACTGCTGGGGAAGCGCCTTAAAGCCACTGCAAAGGACGTCGTGTTTGAAAGCGACTCCGCCTGTCGATGCTTATGTACAAGAGTTGGTCCTTGTGCTAGAAACAATTCGTTGGTTTGTGGCTTTTTTTTTTTTCCTTTTTTCTTTTTTTGAAAAATACACCAAGAGACGAGAGCTGCTTTGCTATTTCCTAACGAGGACACTACTCACGTTTAAATATCCAGTATTTATCAGAGGAACAAATTCTAACAGTAAAGTGCACCCATGTACAGAGAGAACAGATGGAAAACTGCTAGTGCAAGAATCCTGTGAAAATGCAACACTCACCATCGTGACAAACCCACGCGCTGCACCACGCCAGCGTTGTCTCTGTGTGTGTGGTTACAGTGAGAGCTGTGTTTTGGTTTTATCCTTAAAACACCTTCACAAACCCGAGGTGGCACTGGGGGACATGGGGCAGTGAGCAGCGCAGCGCATGCAGCTCTCCAAGCGTGCGCTTTGCTGCGCAGCAGAGCGGGGCTGAGCTTCGTTCCTTTTCCCATTCCAAGAAGCAACTGAAGGCAGAAAGCTGCTCGTGTTCAGAAAGCTGAGGGGAAGGGGCTTTGTACTTGCAAAGCAGAACCGTTTCCAAAAGAGGGACACACAGCAGCACGCTGCTTCCAAGGAGAGAAGCAGCGCTGCCGGCGCTCCCCCAGCCCTGTGAGAAAGCAAAGGTCGGGGCTGAGCTGTGCTTGAGAAGCAACAAGCCAACTTCAATGCAAACAGTGCCCCAGACAAATACACAACACAAGAGGAAAAGCCCGGGATGCTCTTGGTGTGTCTGTGAGACACGAGGTCCTGCTGTGCCCAGCTTGGGCTGAGCCCGACCACCACCGGGGCTGGTTTAGCTCCAGGCTGAGTGCTGTGGTTCAGTTTGAGGCATTCTGCAATCTACGTCCAGATATAGGTAGCCCTTTGGAAACATCAACAGGTTTTGCTCACTTTTCCTGCTCAGCACCAGATCCCTTTCTTGCCCCATAACACCACGGATGGGGCCCTGGTCAGCCTGAGCTGGGGAGGGCACTCAGCCCACGGCAGGGCTTGGAGCTGGGCGGGCTGTAAGGTCCCTTCTAACCCAACCACGTCATGGTTCTGTGATTTTGCTATTAGGAGCTGCTATGGGTGAGGCTCAGCGGTGGGCAACAGGCACTATTTTTGCTTTAAAACAAGCTCCAGGTTTATCCCTCGTCCAACCAATCGCCCTCAGTAATGGAAAGGCAAATTACAAAGCAAGCAGCACTAAGTGAAGCATTGGTAAAGAAGTCCCTCCACTCATCCCAAGAAATGCCAGGGAACAACTGCAAAATTCAGTACAAAGGTTTCTGGAAGTGTCCCCCGCTGTTCACACTGCCTTGATGTGACTTGTGTTTGATTTACAAAAAATAAGAGAAAAACAACCAAACCACAAAAAAATGTCCTGAAACAGAGCACATAAATAAATTATAAATATCTCTCTTCTAACTAAAGGTCCTTAAAGAGCAAAGCACCATCTCTCCCATCTATAGGTAAGAGAACAGAGCAATCGCTTTCCATGATTTTGGGATGGACCCTGCAACCTTTGTCACCGGACTCATCCCATCCCAGAGCCACAGTGCCACGTTATGCATCCCAGCCAAGAAATAAACTGTGGATTTCCTTTTTGGAAAGGATTTCCTAGTCAAAAAGACAGAACACCATAAAAAGCCCCAAAACAAATGAAAACCCCAACGTTCAGCTGTCCTGGTGATAAATGTGGTGCCACGTTTGGGATGCAGCCATCTGCTAATGGGGCAACTGAGCTGCGGTCCCACTCCTAACCCAGTTCCCTCGGCCCGTGAACGTGCAATCTCTGAGCACCTGCAACAATGCCCACGAATAAACCGACACCAGGACACCCAGATGGCAAAGTAGCAAAGCACCTGGTGACCCCCAACCCTTCAGGCAGCGTAAGCAATTAAAGAAACACAATTCCAATCGCAATGCTGCACACGGGTCAAGCAGGATGGGTGCTGTGCATAGCTACGAACGATGCTCTGCTCTGTCTGAGCAAAGGGAGAGCTGGGCAGGGAACAGCCCTGCTGTGTGGCAGCCTGCAGACGCAGCCCCAGAAGAGGTTGTTGGGACACCCGCTCTGCTCCCACTGGGAACTGTCAGCAGTAGGAGCTCATTGAGACATAAGGAACTGATTGAAATCGGACGCGATTGTCTCCTGAAAAAGATCTGGTTACCTCCCACTGCGTAAGGGATGTTCCTGGCCTACCCCGCACCGCGTACTGGGATATCCTGGTTGGCAGCTGCCAAGTGAGGGAGCTCAGCTGGAATTGGGCAATGTACTGCTTGGCTGAGGGTGGCTTCACAGTCAGCTGGGGGACGGAAGGGCCGGAGCGCGTGCATGGTGTCTGACCACCGCACCAAGTACCGGAGAAACGTGGTCATGTCGCTACCAAAGAGAAATAAAAATAATAATAATAATAATAATAATAATAATAATAATATGCATGGAAATCAAGCTTGGAAGTGTGTGCTGCAAACATAAGGGTCTTACTCCAACAAGCGTCTCTTACACATTAGACTCCACAAATGGTCTCTTTGGTTTGATTGGGGATGTCTGCCCTTGCCGGGAGTCCCGGGAGAGCTGCCTGTACAGGTTGTCCTGGTAGGCCTGTGCCACCGGCAGCGTCCTCGCCACCTTCACATCGGGGTACGAGGAGGCCTGGGTGACTCTCTCCAGTAGGTCTCCCCGGGACCCATTGGCCAGCATCCCATGGGGGCTGTAATAGTCTTCCTCTAGCAAATGGCCATTCTGTGCATTGTTGGTTTTGTTATAAAAGGCAATGTTGCTGATTGAAGAAGGTGGGCTAAATGATTCCGGCTGGGGGAGATTGCCAGGAGACGTAGGGCTAATAACAGTGTCCACTGATGACACGGCCCAGGTCCGGTTCTGCTGATGGAGGTGGGGGTACTGCTGAGTCCGAGCGGTTTTATCAATGATTCCCATGAACGGCGTGGTCCGGGAACGGGCCGGCTCGCTGGGGTACCCACCCTGAGTGGGGGACACTGGGGACAGCTCGTCGCACGCCCGGTCGTAGGCCGGCTTGAGAGGGATCTCCATTTGCTGGATCGAGGCGGAGGGGCGGAAGTTGGGCGTCAGGTTGGAGGTGGATGAGATGCTATTGCTGGAGGGAGAGAAGCGCAGGCCGACGCTCTGCGAATGGAGCAGCGGCCTCGGGGTTGGCGGGTGAGGCTTGATTTCGCTGGGATTAACGCTGATGGGCCTCCGGATGAGGTGAGACACGTCCGGCGAGCCGAGCTGGCCAGAGGGCAGGGATGAACGCTCCAGGTCCAGCTTTGAGTGGCACATGGGGTAGTAGGAAGCAGACTGGCTGCGCCCGATCTGGGGGGTCTGGCTGTACCTCATGCCCCCCCTGTACGCCGAGGACGGCCTCTGCGGAAGATCTTCCTTGGCCAACCCTCCGTGCTGGCAGATGGCCCCCGCGCTGAGGCTGGCCTGCACGTGCTGCACGGGCCGACTGTCCCCTACGATCCCCCCGATGGAGCCCTGGTACACCAGCCTGCTCTGGTTGACTCCCATCTCCCCCGCCGCCGCCTGGTACTTGCTGGCCATCGAGTGGGCAACCTGGCTGTAGGCACCGGTGGGGATGACGGTGCTGGAGTGCACGGCTGAGCTGGGCTGGTTGCTCCGCACGATCTGCGCCTTTGCTGGCTGCAGCCTCAGGCCCTGCTGAGGCACGGCCACGGGCAGCTGGGGCATCTGGAAGGAGCGCTGTGACATTTTGGACAGGGGGGATTTGGGCCTGCCGGGAAGCGGGCTGACAGCACTGGGTTCTTGCTGATAGCGAACCGGGGAGCCCGACTGTGACCTGTACACGCTCATGCCGTCTGCTGGGGGGCTGGCGCGGTACTGAGGGCCTCTGCGAAGAGGAGAAGGCGGTGGGCTCTGATATTCCTTCCCCTGGCTCCCGACGGGGGGTGGGCTGAAGCGATACGAGGAGCCCTGATGGGCAGGAGAGGTGTGCGGAGGACTGGGCCGGTAATGGGAATTCTGGTGTGTCGGAGACAGAGTGGGAGACGTGGACTGGTAGCCCTGCCTGGTGGGAGAGCCCACCGAGCTGTTGGACCTGAAATCAAAGACCTGATGCGAGCCGAGAGGTGAGCCAGAAATATAGGCTGAGTCCCGGTGAGCCGGGGAGGGGGGTGGGCTCTGGATGATGGGAAGCCCTTGGTTTGGCCTGGACTCTGTCTGCAAGCCAATGGAAACGTTCTCAACGTCCTGCTCGAGGTACTCCTCCTCAAAAATGTCTTGCACGGAATACAGCTCTTCATGCTGGGCTTCGGGCTCAGGCTCTGCTGGCAGCGGGGGTGGCTGCTGCTGCTGCTGCTGCTGCTGCTGCACCTGCCGGCACTCCTCCTCCACCCGCAGCAGCAGCCGCTGGATCTCACGGTTGTTGGGGCACAGCTTGATGGCCTCGTTCAGGTCCTCCAGGGCTGCTGCAAACTGCCTGCTTGACAAAGGGACAGAGAGGAGAACTGAAGTTACTCTGCATTCGAACAAAGCCGTTCTTGGAGGATGCTGGGGGTTAAATGGCTTCGTCCGGTTTACTGTGACTGCTGCAGCTGGCTGCTGCCCTAAAACCCTCCCTGGGGTTTATTTTATCCAAACTGAAGGTAAATACTGCCAGCCACTCCACAAAGAGGGGAAAATATGGTCCTAAGATGGCACAACCCAGCGTAGCAGAACACCTCCACAGCGTGCATTACGGGCTGACTGATTACTTCTCACAGCACCACCACGAGCTCTGCCCTGTGTTAGCAAAGGTGAAACCAAAGCAGCTGAGCTCACTGTAGCCATAAACGAGTGTGCAGCTCTGATGGAACTGCAGCTGCTGACGCCAGTGAAAATGTCGCTTCTGCCCACTGCCAAGCACACACAGCGTCAGAGCTGGCTGCACAACACAGGGGTTCCCAGGGGCAGCGTTTCAGGCTCAGCTGGCTCTCCAATTCTGCAATGGATTTGGCTAACTTCTGCAGAACGAAGAGTCCAACCAATGTTAGCAAACCTGCAGCCCCCCCCCCAGGGATGGCATGGCAACGGCAAGGCTGTGAGGAGTAACAGAAGGTGGAGTTCAGGAAGGTGGGCTGTCAATTACAGGGACATTGTTTGCTCTGGAGGAGAACCATCTGACCACAGCTGTGATCTGAGGGATGATAGCCCTCCCTGGGCTGGATGTGCCAACACCCCGGTTTGCTGCTCTATCACAGACAGAGAAAAACTCCCCAGCACCTCCCAACAGCAGCCTGAGCTTCCGCACAGCCTACTGGAATCCAGATGCAAAGAGGAAAAGCCTCATCCTCTGGATGTGCTGACCTCAGGGCTGCTGCACAAACAGGGAAACAAACAAGGGCAGAAATGATCATAGTTTCTGTTGGAGAGACCTGGGGAGAAAAGGATGCTTGTATGCCTGGGGACTGATATAATCTGGAACCCAGTTCTTGCGCTTCCTTAAAGCATTTTGGAAACAATGGAGAGGAAAGCCATGAAAGGAAAGGCACAAGGTCAGCATGGCTCAGCTGAAAGGCTCCTCAGCAGAACAGAAGGTCAGGACTGCGCCGCCCACATGGAGTGCAGAAGCAGGCGCCCCACAGGGGGTCCCTTCCAGGGGGTGAACATGGGAATGCCATGGGCTCCAGATGCACAGAAAGGCCATAGTGCACGGCCCAGTGCTCCGAGGGCCAGAAGCACAACAGCTGGCACAGTCACTGCATGACTGGTCACCAGCTCTGCCCTGCAAGGAGTGCTGCTGGGCATGGAGTTGGGGATTTGAGGTCAGACAAAATCACTGTGATGAACAGGAGCCTGCCCCTTCACATAACGTGAATCACTTTTTGCTTCAAGTTCAAGCTGAGGTTGAACTGAAATGTATTCTTAAAAGAACGCCAGTCTTGGTGTAAAGGCTCCCAGTGCAGCACAGTTTTCAAAGTCCAGCTAAGATGAATGGCTCAAAAACATTTACGCTCAGTTTTGTCACCTCATGGAGGAATGTTCCTTTGCCACTTCTTCATGTGGGGACGCTCACACAGAGCTGCATGCACTCAGGTTTCTCTATCTCCTCACCTGCTGCTGCGTTTGGCCCTTGCTCTTGCATAGTAAGCTTCGTAAGATTTCGGTTTCAGCTCCAGTGCTTTAGTAGCGAATTCCTCTGCCATTCCAAAGTCCTGTCATTACAATAGGTGGGCAGGTGAGTCATTGAACAGGCAGAAAAATAAAAACATACAAACTGTGGAGAAGACGAACTTATTACAGACATATTTTGCATGTTATCTCTGAAAAACTGACAGTACTGGAATGTTTCACATGGATTCAACATCACTTACAACCAAAGTGTTCTGCTGGCACATCCAAGGACTCAAAGCCCTTTCCATGCTGCTGGATGCTGTGAGCACCCAGCAGAGGCCGGCATGCCACCAGCTCTGTTCTCCTTGTGTCCCCAACAAGAAAGAACATGCAATCCCTGTCCAACAACCTACAGTCTTGAGGAAACATCTGGTCTCACAGAGCCTGGAATGTAATCTCATGAAGGATTCTTTTTCCACAGTTGAAAGCGATAGGAAATCTTTCCCACGCCCTCAGCTTCCCACTCTGAAACACTGACTTACTTGAAAGGGGCTGAACAAAGCTGTGCATGAAGGAAGGGACTGCTGGTACCTTGGGAGCTACAAACAGGACCTGCGTGGCCAAGATCTCCCACCTGGGCCACTATTTCACTGTTCTCTTGCCTCTCCCTAGATGTTATGTTGTTGGGAGTGGGAAGGAAAAGTGTGACAGCGAAGGATGGAGATGTGATGCTCAGTGGCAATGCCATGAGATCAGCTCACATCCTGCTGCCCGTCCTCAGTGCTGAGCTCAGGTGTGAAGAGGATCTCCTCCAACTGAATGCTCACTGCTTGACTTGACAGCACAAGGGGGAATGGTTTTAAGTGAGACGGGGAGGTTTAGGTTGGATATGAGGAGGAAGTTTTTGACCCAGAGGGTGGTGAGGCACTGGAACAGGTTGCCCAAGGAGGCTGTGGATGCCCCATCCCTGCAGGCATTCAAGGCCAGGCTGGATGTGGCTCTGGGCAGCCTGGGCTGCTGGTTGGTGACCTGCACATAGCAGGGGGTTGGAACCAGATGAGCATTGAGGACTTTTTCAACCCAAGTCATTCCATGATTCTATGACTCGGGCTCCAGCCCCTAGCAGTCCTGGCAGAAAGCACCCAAGAATACCCCTTGTTTGTCCAAGAACTCAGTAAGCAGAGCCCACCCTGCCAGAAATGAAGTTTATGAGCACAGCCCAGTGTGCAGGGACAGGTAAGGCCATGTGTACCCTAAAAAAAACCCAGGGTGAGGTTTAATCTCTCCCAAGGTGTCCATGCTGGGATTTGTTATGGGGACACGCTGCTGGGAGAAGCTGATGCTGCGATTCATCTGAGCAAAGAGGCCACAGAGCAGCATGTGCCTCACTACAGGGGGGGACGGGGGGGGCTGTCAGATTCTCAGGCATTGGCCAGAGGTTGGCATCTTACAGTTTGGCCTAAATAAGCAAACATCTTCCATCAGATTTCTACTGCTGAACCTACAGGGGAACATTTTCAAGTCTGGTCAGTGGCAAATACTTTTGTTTGTACCTTCAGCAGCAGTTAATGAAGAAATACCATCTAACGGACCAAAGCAGACACGTAGGCAAGAGGCAGTTACCCTCATGGTCCAACCTACAGGTACAAAAACTGCACAACTGCTTACAACCATCCAGTTCATATCACAAACCCCGGGATGACCCAACGAGCAGCAAGCTGGAGATCTTGTCCTTTATGTGCAGGCTTAGCAAGGGGCTGCTTTGCTGAGAGAACATTCACACTTCTGCAAACTGCACTGTTCACTCCCCAGCACTCAGATTTCCTTTTCATTGCTTTTCATCTGTCTCCCTCCTAGCTTAAAGCAATGAGGGTGTCACAAAATCCCATCCTCCCTCCCCATGCAATCATCGCTGGCGGAGATATCACTTTTTGAGTCTACAGAGACTTGAAAAGTTGTGGAGGTGAAAGTCTGAGAGCAAGGGGGAGGTGGCAGTGTGCTGGAGAACAGACGTGCTGCTGAGGTTTGTCACCAGATAGATGCTGCTGGATTGGAGCAGGGAGTGACAGTGCTACGGCAGTGCTGGGAGGAGAGGGAGTGAGTGGGGGTGTCTGCGGATGAGTCACTGCCCTGGGGAAGCATCAGCCCCCTTAGCATATGCTCCTTCATTTTAAATTAATTAGCATTCCAAGGAGAGCATCTCCTGGCTCCTCCTCCCTCACTACTGCCCTAGAAATGTGAAAAATGCCTCCACCCCCCAAAATCCACATCACCATCAAAAGGGAGTGATAAAAAATTCAAAACGCTGTAAACACAGCCATGAATTTTTCATCACCACAGATGCATATTAAATCATTACTTTGCTCCTCTGGCAATACATAAAATACCCGTGCTCTGTGAAGGACAACCAGGGCACGCAGAGGAGACCATGGAGGTTGGGGCAGGGCTGCAGGAGGGACGTGGCTCTGAGTGCTATGTGACTTACATTCATTTTCCTTCGACATCGGGAGAGGTTGAGAAGGAGTGACACCTTCAGCTCACGGAAGGTTTTCAGGTCTTCCCCAAAGCCTTCCCTGGGGAACTTCTTCAGGGCGTACTGGTAGCGCTGGGCAGCCTCCTTCACTTTACCTTTCTGATAGAAGGAGAACATGTCAAAGCAAATCCTTTGGGTGAGTTTACTGCAAAGCACTGCCAGACCCATGGATGCTCTGGCGGTGAAGGTAACATGATCTCATTATTTAACTGTTCGCTAGAAATGAAAGCCAGACCATTCGTCCAGTATCTGATCTGGAAATGCAGATGCCATGTGTAAGCTGAGTTCTCCCATCTCAGGCAGCAGGAAACTCATCAAGAATTGTTTTAATAACTTGATCCAACTCCATCTGGCTTATGGACAAACGGACTTCTGAGCTGGGCGACCAGTAAGCCAGCTCTGCAGAGGACCCTACATCCCTCCCAAAGGTAAATGCACTCCTGGCAGCCCACCAACAGCTCAGTGGTTGATGCTGTGCACTTCAGAAGCCACACAGTGCATATCCAGTGCAACTTCACGGTGCTGAGGAATAGCACTCTGGCAATGAGCCTTCCACACCACTCCGGTGTGTGACTGACTCAAACCCCAGCAAGCACTAGGGAGGGTAAAGAACACAAAGCGTCGGTCTTTGGGTGCAACAGCAATAGCAAAGATAAGCATTACTGCACTGATGCGGTTCTGACATTGGACAAATGGATTGGGATTCATCTCCTGGACTGCAGATGTTTAGAAATTAGGTGTCTGCATCTAAGCCTGTCAGCTGGGTTCCTTTTATCGTTACTGGGACGCAACAGTCACCTTCAAAAGGTGACTCAGCCTTGCTATTTTGGGCACCTGCTTTTGGGATGGCATGATCTGTGCCCTGAAGGGGGGCATCCATAGCAGCTGCAATGAGAGAAAGAGGGCAGAATGGGATCTGGGATGCACACGATTCATGATGCCCCAGACAGAAGTTTTGCAGCTATGAGCAGTAAGCTTGAAAACCTCTTTGATTCAGGTTTCAGAGTCGCATCACGTATCTCTGGCAGATAACTGCAGTTGCAATGCCAGGTTTGCATATTTTCTCCTTTACCCTTGGAGCCTCGCAGTGAATCACTGTTGTACTTGCACATTTTTATGTGTGTGTGCAGATCTTCAGGTCTTAACAACACAAGGAGCGAAAGCAACTCTAACCACAATGGTAAAACACATCCCATGAGCTAAAGGACAATGAAAAAGCCACCTGCGTCTGTTTCCACCACAAAAAGTTCCTCTTCCTTCACAGCACTTCTCTGGGCTATGCTGCCTTGTTGCCTTGCTCACAGCTCACAGCTGTCAGGTAACCACAACGCTGCCAGATCTGATGGGATGACATCAGCACTGAGAACCTCTGGAAAGCACTTGGGTTCTGGTGTTTTCAAGGAGGAAATGAAGCGCTGGCTCAGGCCCAGAACGCAGACAGCCTTGGCTTTGCTTCAGCTTTGTTAGGGAGTTTGGCATTCAACCTCCCCCTTCCCAACCCCACTAACCAAAGTCAGTTTCAGCACAAGGAATCCTGCAGGCTTTAAGGCAGCAGCACCACTCACACTGCTATCAAAGGAGGAACAAATACATGCTGTAAGCTGCATTTTCCCCACCTCTTCAAGAAAACTCTTCTCACCTTGTAAAACATGTCTCCCTCTTCCATCAGCTTGCTCAACAGGATGATCATGATGTCTGGTTTGGAGGTGGCCATCGCCCATGTTGCTGGACCTGCAGTGTACAGGATGCATGATGGGTAAAAAACTCATACAATGCAAGGGTGGTAGGAAGCTGGGTGGAAAAAATATCCTGGGGTGGGAATTTCTGCTGGAGAGAACAACTTGTGGTGTGGTCAAAGAGCACCCAATGATGGAGCTGACAATTCCTCTTGTACTTAAAATTAATGGCATCCACATTGCAATGGTTTTTCCTTGGCGGTCAGTCATTAATGCTGGCACTAATCAGCACGGCCACGTGGGGAAATGGTGGGAGACATCTCCACGAGAGGGCAGTGCTGTTTGCAGAACTGGGGTGGGGGCAAAGTGTGGGGGGAGTGAGAGGCGTTTAAAGGGCAAATCCAAGTGGTTACATCAAGAGTAACAGTATGTAATTTACTCGTGAATTAATAGCTGTATCTATGAGCGTAGCAGCAAATCCTGGCTACAAACTAGTGCTGAGTTGGAGATGCTCTGAAGCAAAGAAGTGCTGTGGGACAGCACAAGGGGACCCAATGCAGAGCATCGTTATCTGACTGATATTGGGGTGGCAAAATCTGGGGACAGCTCATTAGTGTGGGGGAGGAATAAGTCACTGCTATTTCTATAAGTAAATTCAGTACATTTTGGGGGAAGCAGGTTAGTTTTTGAGTTCAAGTTATTCTCTGCAACAGTCATTTAAAAAAATTATTCGAAGGTGAGGTAAATTAAAAGATTAGAGGTGTTGGGGACGCATGCAGGCTAAATCAAACAGGAGAAAGCAAGGCTGACAAAGCTATCAGATCGAGGCTGATGCTGACAGCAATGAGATATACCTCGTGGGCGACTCGGTAACGTCTGACAACCTTCAAAGAAAGGAGAAAACAAAAAGTTGTAGGAGAGAGGGGAAAAAAATGGATGAAGGTGAAAAAAAAAAAAAAAAAAAAAAAAAAAAAAAAAGAAAGGAAAAAAGCAGCTGTGAGAGGCAGGCAGCAAAGAAGCCAATGCACCAGCAAATCCCCTTTCACAGGAAAACGCAACGTGAGCGGCTGCGTGGCGCAGTGCAGGTAACACTGAGGTCTGAAGCGTATACAGAGCAGTGAAGGCAGCAGCTCACAGCAATGCATGGACACAGCACGCCTGTCGGCTCGGACTAGTAAAGATAGAAAAGGCATTACCGGAGGAAAGACCTTGCCAAAGAAACAGTTGTTTATTCACTTTCTCTAAGTGACACGACAGCAATAAAACATCCCAATTTAACACGTGAACAATGGCGGCGCTCCTGACTTGGGGCTGCTTTCGGGGTACGAAGCAGCAGTGGGGCTGAGGCTGCCTCCGGGTTGGGGTTCTCACTCCGAGTGCCCCCACACAGAGCTGACCAGGTGTCCCCCAGGCCCTACCTATCTTTGCTCCTTTCTTCAGGAGGGTGACGACCACCGAGGTGTTGCGGCACCCCACCGCCCTGTCCAGGGGACGCATCCCGCTGTAGTCGACGTGCTCGATCACGGCCCCGTGATCCACCAGGAACTGAACCTGCAATGGCAAACCAGCTGTCAGCTTGCTGGGGAAGGACATCCAGCAACAGCTTACCCAGCTCCAACTAAAAGAGGGGAGATCTAGGTCAGATGTTGGGAGGAAAATCTTTAGCCAGAGGGTGGTGAGGCCCTGGTGCTGCCCGGAACTGTGGGTGTCCCATCTCTGGAGGTGTCCCAATGCCACTCTAGGCAGCCTAAGCTTGTGGAGGACAGCCAGCCTATGGCAGGGGGTGGGGCAGTGGGGTCCCTTCCAACCCGGCCATGTCGTGGTTATGTGGGTTTGTGGTCTTCAGGAACCCCTGCAATTCAACTGTGCTGCGCTTCTATGCGCCTATGATCTTCAAGGTCCCTTCCAGCCCAACTCAACCATTCCATGTTTCTATGATCTTTAAGGTCCCTTCCAACTCAACCGTGCTGTGATTCCATAGTTCTACCATCCCTAATGTCCCTTCCAATCCGACCCATTCTATGAATCAGTGATTTGCTATACCAAGCCATGCTGTCTACACCAAGCTGTGCAGTACTACTTGGAGGGGTTAAGGCAAGCTGCCCTTTTGGTTCTGCCACTCACCACCTCCGCGTCGCCGTAGAAAGCTGCCAGGTCCAGTGGCGTGCGCCCATTTTTGTCAGCATGGTCGGTGGCTGCCCCATTCTCCACTAGGGCCCTCACCACGGCCAGGTGGCCCTTCAGGCAAGCCCAGCTGAGGGCTGTCAAGCCCTCCTTGTCCATCAGAGAAATGGAGGCACCTGGAAGGACAAGTGGCAGCTCACTTGCAAGCTCTATGACACAACAAACCAGCACAAACTCTCCACGCAGTGATGACAGCTTGTTTTTAGAGAATGATACACGTAATTATTAATTACTTTATTAGCATTTCTCTCACTCTGCAGCTCACCCTCCATCACAACTCGAAATGCACTGATAGGAGCTGTGCAGGCAGGTTTATTCACACTGAGCTGCAGGCTTGTTCACACTTCACTCCACAGACCGTCTTGGCAAAAGCCTCTGAGCAGCAGGGTGGATGTGACATCCCTCAGCTGAGTTGTCAATCTTTCCTTTTAACTGTTTTTTGGTGTTTTCTTTTTTTTTTTTTTAAATCCAGCCTGTGAATCAGAGCTGGGGGCCATTCTGCTGTTTCAGCAGGCTGCGGCATACCAGGGGAACTAAATCACCCCCATTCTTCCCCAAAAGTGTGTATTTCTCCCTCCTCACCCCCCTCCCTTCTACCCAAATCAACACAATTTCCAGCAGTATTTCTCCCTGAACTTTACCCAATATAAATACAACGTTGTGGGATAAACTACTGCCAACTGCAAGCCAAGGAGGGGGGAGCTTGACATTTTCTTGGATGCAGAAATTGCGCTGCCATACCAACGGGTCAGCACTGCTTCACACAGCATATGGATCCGCATACGTGATTCGAACAGCAGCATTAAGTGAACACTCCTCTGCGTGGCACAAAGACAGCTCCTGTTGCCATGGCACACACAGGGCTCTCGCTCTCCAGCGTGCAGAAGAGATGTGCACCAGTTCTGCTGCTCCGAGGAGCTGTGCCTACCTGTGGGATGCTCCTGCCAGCAGCCTGGCATGAATCGCTGCTGCAGTGTTTTTCTCCTGTAGGTAAACTCTCAAGCATGTGTTTCTCCCTGGCTCCAGAATGCTTAGCAAGTGGGGGAGGAATGTGAACGTCCTGAAGTTCCCATTCATCCCAGCTGACACATCCCTGGGTAGCACACATTGCCCAGATGACAGCGAGCTGCTATGTCTTCCAGCTCGCCCATCTTGTTTGTGGAGGAGCAAAACAACGTGAACATTTGCTGGAGATTATGTTCACAAATCTGCATCTAGAGCTCTCAGCACAGCCCCAGCACTGTGCCTGCTGCGTGCACAGCACGGCTGGGGCAATCTGGTGTGCTGAGGTGGCACTCTGTTGCCAACACTGCTCCTCACCTCCTGCAACCTGCTGTATCACTGCCCCATGTGGAATCCACAAATCCTTCTGTGAAAGCTCTCGAGATGATCCTCAGCTAGCTGAGGCCAACTGCTGCTCCACTACAAAGGATAAACCTCATTTCATTCCTTCTCATTTGTACCAGCTCCCTTCTTGCACTTAAACAAAGTCCTCTGTTGTTGGGTGGTCCTGTGTGGAGCCTGGACTCAGTGATCCTTAAGAGTCTCTTCCAACCTGGGATATTCTAGGATTCCATGATTCTCTAGTGCAGATCCATGAGCTGGACTCAATGACCCTTATGGGTTCCTTCCAACTCAGGGTATTTTACAGTTCTCTTATTTTTTCCCTCCCTGCCTTTTGGAGCAGCTGAGAAGGCTCCCGCACCAAGAGGGAAGCTGGAAAGCTGCACCATCACCCAACCATCCCATTTCTTCCCCAGTCCAAGGGAAGAGCCACCACACAACGGAGTGACACACTCAGATTTTCGGGCACCAATGCAGGGATCCAAGCTGAAGGTCCCAGTGAGCAGACAGTGCCACAGCAGAGCCAGACTCTCATCAGAACCTCTGTGTGCTTCTCTGCTCCTTAATGCATCCTGCACTCCCCAGGGGTCTCTGACCCACTCACAGCATTAAGGACGTGGAACAAGTACAAAGTCTGGAGGGGAATTGACTTCAAGTGCCATCAAAGGTTCTGTCTGGATACAACAATGGCCAATGGACCGACAGCTGCTCTGGCAGGGGTACAACCAGGGAGGTTTAATTCATGGTTCACAGCTCTGCTCCTCCTCTGCTCCTCACAGAGCAGCAGGTAACTCCACCAGTCTGGATTTCAAGTTGATTGAGGACTGCAACTCGGTTAATAAAAAGTGTTTACAAACGCTGGCTGCGTTAATCAAGCACAGCCAAACGAGATTTGCTTTGCAACACTCTAATTACTGCTTATGGCTTATGATTCACACACTTTGATTTTAATGAAACATTAAACAGGATTGTTAAAGCCATTTTAATTAACATACCCTATATATCACTGTACTCTGCCCAGGCTTGAGCTTACTTTTCAGGACCATGTGTTATGGCAGATTTAGAGCTGTTTAACGAGCTACTTAGATGAACAGTCCCTTTCAAGTACAAAAGGTTTTTATGGCTTTGATTTCTTGGACCCTCAGCTTCGTGATCACTGTCACAGCCCCATGCAGGGCAGTGCAAGTCCCACTGGCCTGTATTTAAGAAAGGACAGAAACAGTGGTGTCTGTACAGGCAGCAGGCAGTGTGCTGCTCTGAATCACCTCAAACGTGACATCAGAAATGAATAAAACCGAAATACATTCTTGCTGACTGAATGACTCCGAGCAAAGCAGTTGTTAGACGCTAAAAGCACAGAGCAAGGTGGATCTGTGAGTACTATCTGTGAGTACTAGACCTGAAGAGCACACCGTCTTCAAAACACTCAACATACCAAATCCTTTCCCATGTTAGGGCTTTACCATCCCATTCACGTGGGTGTCAAAACCATGGGTAGCAATGCTAGCACTGAAAATGGGAGTGATATCACGCCCCAACCCCTGGCCCTGGGGCTGAGCATCACTCTGTGGTCTTGCTTGCAGTTCAGGTGCATTGCTCGTTGATTTCTGTCTGAGGGGAAAGCTGGAAGCACAGCTCAGGGGCACACTCTGCCCTCAGTGCCCAAAGCACCTCTCATAACACTGCCATTGTAATTCCTACACAATATGTGGTTTGGAAGCCATGCGTGTCAAGCACAGAAAACAAAACATACAGCCAAGATGAGTATATTGCCCATAACTGTGCCCTCCAACAGATGGGGAAGTGATGGGGACCTCTCCCACTGCCCAACCCGGCAATGGGGCTGCAATCCCCACTGCTGAGGAAATGCAGAAGGTACTGGGAGGGGACTTGCTGTGGTCAGACCCCAACACGCTCCAAGCACGTGCTCTAACCTTGTGCAAGCAGAAACTCCACCGTGCCCAGGTGTCCCTCGGATGCAGCCATCATCAGCGGTGTCCGGCCCTGTTTGTCTGCCATGTTCACGTCAGCGCCGTGGGTGAGCAGCAGGTCCACAATCTGCAACACACAAAGCAAGGGCACACCTGGAGGAGTGCTAGAAGGAGATGGGAGCTCAGAAGGTCCACAGTGGTCCCTGCATCTTAAGGGTTTGGCAAACCTTCCTGGAAAGCAAGCTGGGCAGGGGGCCGACTTCACACTCTACAGCTCTCTGACAGGGGGCTGTAATGAGGAGGGGATTGGTCTCTGCTCCATGGACAAACAACAGGATGAAAGGTAATGGCCTTAAGTTGTACCACGGGAGGTTCAGATTGGGAATTAGGGACAATTTCTTCTCCAAAAGCGTGGCAACGTGTTGGCACAGGCGGCCCAGGGAGGTGAGGGGGTCCCCATCCCTGGAAGCATTCAAGGAACGTGATGTGGCACTGTGGGATGTGGTTATGGGCACGATGGGGTGGGCTGGGGTTGGGCCTGGGGATCTGAGAGGTCATTTCCAACCAGGCAGAGGTGGGACGGGATGCTGACCTGCCAGTGGCCCTGCCGGACGGCGCTGAAGAGAGGCACCACGCCGCGCCGGTTGGGCTGTGCCACGGCAGCTCCCTGCTCCAGCAGCAGCCGGCACACGTCCAGCTTCCCCCGGCCCGCTGCTGCCGTCAGTGCTGTGGAGAGAAAAGGCAGTGAGGGGAGCAGCCATGATGGCTCCATGGTGCCCCAACCACAGCACCCAATGGGCAACGCCAACAGAAGATGAGGGATGGATCAGGGACGGTTTCCCGGCAGCGAGCTCTGGGCTCTCCTATGTTGGAATGAACCCAGAGCAGCGTTGTTGGGATGGGGGATTTTTTTTATGTCAGCCTGTGGATCTCTGGAGTAACTGGAAAGCAAAAGTGGTGTCTATGCACTCAGATGTTTTCCATGCAAAATGCTCGTTTTGGCTGTTCCTTCTGGGCAGGACTGACCCCACCTGCAACAGTCTTTGTGCAAAAACCAAATCATCTCACACTGGCTGTCCAAGGAGGCTGTGGATGCCCCATCCCTGCAGGCATTCAAGGCCAGGCTGGATGTGACTCTGGGCAGCCTGGGCTGCTGGTTGGTGACCTGCACACAGCAGGGGATTGGAACCAGATGAGCACTGTGCTCCTTTGCAACCCAGGCCATTCTATAGTTCTGTGATTCTCTGGTCTCTCAGCTTCAGTGGGTTGGGAAGAAACAGCTGATACCTCCTCCCTCTCCAACTCTGCTCTGCCAACCCGAAAAGTCAGGGTGGGTTCGAAAAGACACATCCAAAACCAGCTCCGAGTGCAGGACCTGCCTTTGACTCGTCTTTGGTATTAATTTTAGACTTTTCAGTTCCTCCTTCTCTCCTCCCCCCCAACTCTCTGCACTTCAGTGCTGCCTCCGGTGGGAGTTGGAGCAGAAGGTGGGAGTCTATTTCGAACTGACGTCGCTTGTTTTTTTCTCTGAAGTACATTTCTGTGGGACGGCTGATTACGAGGTGTTGATGGGTTTCCAACTCCATCGCTGTTAATGGTGGGGGATTTAATTAATTCTCTCTTCTGTTCCCACATTATGCTTGAGTCCTCTTCACTCGGAGTTGAGAGACAGCAAGAGTTAAAAGAAAAATCATCCCTTTACCACGAGCAGAACATACTGCAGCACCTATAATCAGATCCATGTGGGTTTTAAACGTAAGCTACCAATATAGCAGGACTGTGACCAATGTGCACGGCAGAGCGATCAGCACGCGGGGCTTTGGGGTTCTATTTCTAAACCTGCCTGCACTTGAAGTGTTGTGGGTTAATATCAAAATGGTATGTAAAGCAGCTACAGTCTGCGTTCACCACAAAAAAGACTTTGGAAGAGACTTTACTGGAATAGGATGACTGGATCTGTAGCCATACCCTTCTCAGCTTTGCTCTGTCCTGCAGCACTGTGCAGCAGTTCTGCTCATCCATCCCGGTTCCAAAGCTCAATTAAACCACTTTGGGAAGCCTCCTGCAAGCACCCACTTCCCTAAGCTTTTAGCACTCCTCAGGTGCATGCATTCACCTGCTGACATCCCCATCTGATGTGCCTGCAGGAGCCATCACAGAACCCACAGTGCAAGGCACAACTTCCTTTCTGCTGCATGAAGACTGGAAAAGGCCAGGAAAGGAGATGAAATCAGAGAAATGGTTTGGTTGGAAGTTTTGCTGCCTGAGAGCTGATGGCTCGGTGTGAAGAACTGAGCCAAATGAGCCCAGCCAGCAAGAGGAGACCAGAGCTGGAAAATGGGAGTGTTTACACTGCAGCTCTTTCAGGAGAACAGAATGCCATGCTATCACACCTTGCAATAACCAAGGCTTGGCACAGATGCCATGAAACAGTTGCTGCAATTCCCAAAACGCATCCAACAAAACCCAAGCTGACTCCATCCGCCCTCGATCATGAGGATGTCGGCTCTCCAGCAGAAGGGATTTGCTGCAGCACACTGCCTGCTGTGCAAAGCCTGCCTGCTTTCCTACAGCAAAACAAAGTTGATCTGCAGAAGGAATCATTACATCGCAGTGGGCTCCGATACGGCGCGTGGATCCATTTCAGGGGCTGGCAGCAGGATACACGCAGGCGGTATTGCAGCTCTTGCACCTCCAGCCCCGATGGAGCTGTTACAAGTGACTCAGATGCTTTTGTGCTGGGTTTGATGGGAGCCTCGTCCCAGGGGCACACGATCCATCTGGAGTTGTGCTGTCAGCAATTCCTGACCTTATGATGTAACTTGGCGCTGCTGTGGGATGAGATCAGGCTGACATCACTGAGCCAGGCTCTGCTCTATGGCACATCAGACACATGAGCAACAAGTATCAAAAGACAGAAAAGTCCCCACTTGGATTTTTAGGGCAGACTGCTATTTTTGGAATAGAAAAAACGGTGGAAATGAGCGTTCTGACTTCAAGTGCAAACTAAACTCACTGTTTACTCTTGGGAAAATAAAATTAGAACAATGTGTGAGGGAGTCTTGTGATCCATATGAATGCATCTTACCTGTGATGGAAGGAAGGACTGCTGGTGCTTGGCTCAATTTTGCTCCTTTTCCTGCCTTACCCATAGCTGTTGTAATGGATCAGTGGGGATTCATTTCTAACAGCTCCCCAGTTTGACTGCTATGTGCTCATCAGCAGTTTGTGCTGCCAGCTATCCCTTCTAGATGTGAGTGCATTGAAGGGGAGAGGTATGGGAGGAAGGTGACAGTGGGGAAAGGTTTCTGCTGGAGACCCTGGGGCAGCAGGCAGATTGGGAACAGCAGAGCTACCCAGATGTGAAGGAAGAGAAGAGCTGGGATTCTGCAGGGAGAATAGCATGCAGCAAAGCGTTGGGAGCAGAAAGAGAGGAGGGAAGGGAGGGCTGTGACCTGCAAAGGCGGAGCTGGAGGGAACGCAGAGCCACAGAACAGCTGGGAAAGCTGCAGGGCTCTGCACCAAGCTTTGCCAGCTTATCCAGACAACCAGGACTATCCCAACCCAAGAAGAACATCTGCATTGCCCGATGCTGCCTCTGAGGGCACATTGCAGGGACACGTCTCCATCACTTCTAACCAAACTCTGAAGCCATCTGGACCACCACCTATCAGCTACCCTTCAGCAGTGCACATTCTGGATGAGCCATCTCTGACCTGGGGTTACCACCCGGTTCACCAATAAAAATGCCACTATTTTGTTACTAACTGCCAATACTCCATCATTTCATTTGGAGAATCCTATATCCAATTTCTATTTTTTTTTGCTCTGTGACGCCCTTGGGGCACCTTTAAATGGTTCACTTGTACATTTGTGGCATTATTTCCACCAATAAAGGCAGCATGCCCTTGCTGCTCTGTGGCTGTGTGTGAAGCGAGCTGCTGCTTTCCCCCATGCTCCACTCCATGCTGGGACACCTCACTCCTCTCCTTCTGCCATTTAAAGCAGAGCATGCCCAGCAAGCTCCATCCATTACAGCACTGTACTTTCAGAAGTACCGAGTGCCAATCAGCTCAGACCATAACCCAGCCCTTCCCTGCTTGAATTGCAGCCAACCTGAGCCCAGCACAGCAGTGCCTGCAGCCCAGAGCATGTCACTGTTAAACAAAGCTGATGGAGTTGAAGGCAGAGCTCTCTCACCCAGACAGGGATGGCACCGCAGTGCATCAGCTCGACAGGAGCACTGATGCAAGTGGATTGGTGAGCTGAGTGCAGGAGACAGCAGGTAATATTTAAGAGGTCACTGGAGACAAAAGCCAACAAGGCCAGGTTTGAATAGCTCAAGAAATGGAGATGACAGAGTGACTTGTGTGTGTGTGTGAGGAGGAAAGGGGGGATGGCTGGTTTTGTTTTGGGGGCAGTGAGGAAAGGAGGGCTTCTGTGTTAGACTGTGAGCACCAGGAAAAGCACAGCACAAAGGACTTATTTTTAACTAGCAGGTGTTAAATAATGGATAGCTTAGCAATCAGTGCTGTGTGTTACAGGGAAGGGGGGAGCAGAACGGAGATGCTTTGAGTAAATATGCAAAGTATCAAGAGAGAATGAGCAGCAGTGTGCATCCACCTGACTTAACATGGGATGTTTCTGAAACCAGTGGGCTGGCAGTCAGAGCTGCTTTGTGCCCCACGCTTCAAGCCAGCATCAGGAGCTGCAGAAGCTCAGGATTTCCCAAAGCCCAACTGTCTACTTAAGCACCTTGGCGTCTGTAACCTCAAATGAAATCAGAGGAAGGGATCCTCTCTGTCAGAACAAAGCAGGGATCAGGTGTGTACCAGGAGCCCGTAAACACAAACACAAGCATGCAGGAGAAGCTAGAGATCTGCAGAAATCACCTGTCTCTCCCCAGAGACTGTCAAAGCTGTTGATCTGTGCTCGCTCCACCTCCTCTTCATCTTTTTCTGGAAGGTCGAGCAGGTAGGAGACAATCTAAAACAAAATGACATGTCAGCTCACAAACCTCGATGCATTATAGATAAACTGCTGACATTTTAACAAGAGCTGCTCTGAATACACTGAGGAGAAGGCACTGAATTTCTGCTTGGAATCCTCAGCTCGAGTAAATACTCTCCTAGAGATCCCAGCAAGGATTCTGGTGTGGCTCCAGCAGTGATCAGGATCAATTATAGACATGCACAACACTTGTTCCATCACCAAAGCTGGAAAACTCAGCAAGTTTATCATCAGCTGTGCCTGCAAGCACCTCCCAACAGGAACCTGCAGTATATTCTGTAAGCAGCCACGTGCATTTAGGGTATAACAAACATGAAATTGCTTTTGTAAGTTACCAAGGTGACTGCTATGGTTTGGGGGAAAACTCTCATTTGCGAAGCTCTGTGCCCTGTTACAAATGATGTCAGCGTGCAGATCTGCACGGTTTTGAAGTCACATCTGCTTCTACTTGGTTCAACTCACAGCCACTTTAAGCTAATAGCAATTACCCAGCTTTCTTTAATTAGCTCCTCTGATCTGAGCACGTTATCTATGTTTTTATGGATTATACTGAACAAAAGCAGAATCTAAAGTCAAGTCAATGACAGCTCCACCTCCCAGCCCCCCTTGCTTGATATTCTGGCTAGAAATCATGGTTATCCTTTGGTGTCCCATGCAGAGCGATGGGCTGAGAGCCTTACCTCCGTGTAGCCCATGCTGGCTGCGGCGATCAGGGCCTGCTGGATGGCGTGGCTCTTTTTGAACACCCCCTGCTGCTGCCCAGCCATGCTCCAGTCGCACTGGATCAGGAACTTCACCACTTCCAGGTGTCCTCGGAGGGCGGCGTGCACCAGCGCGCACTGACCGTTCTTGTCCAAGTGATCCACCTTGAGAAGAGAAGGTGACAAAAATGCAGTGAAGCCAAACCTCGGGTGAAGCATCTCTCTTCCTTCTCAGTTTCCAGCCCCGGTTTCAGAATCATGCCACGTGTGCAAAATGTGCATTCTTCTGGGAACTGTCCCCTCCATGAGCACACAGCAGCTCTTCACAAAGGCACTGCCCCAGGCTGAGGCATCCTCTTGGCCACAAGTGTTTGCTTTGGATAAGCTGCCATTTCACTGTGGTCTTCGTCAGACTCAAAGGCTGCAAAACTATTTTCTCTTTGTGTCCTGAAATACAGCAATCGTGTTTTCTTGCAATCATACACACGCTGTCGTCTCCTTTCCCAAATCCACAAAGGAAAGCAGCTTGTTTCCCAGATACCATCTCAGGATTCATTCAGGAGAGACAGAAGTGCCTCAGCTGCAGCCTGACACCCTGATGTGAACTCGATGCAAGCAGAAGTCAATGGGAAACAGATTTCATTTGGCAGCTCTGCAAGAGCTCCTCTGCTCGCCTGCTCAGGATGGGGCACAGTTCACCAGAATACATCAGCTGACATTCCTTTGCTTAGGGATACTCAAGGAAAGCTCGGGCAAGACTTTTGCACTGAGTTTATGCCCAAAACTCCTGTTCTCAGAGCAGGAGCAGATCCCCCAACAAGTGGCTCACTCAACTCTTAAAACATCCCAACAGAAGTGACATTAAATAATGTCACTTCCTCCTGTCCCCACATTATAACAGACAACAGGGCAAGGTCTGAGAAGTCCCTCAGTTGCCCTGGCATTCATACTGCAGCTTCACAAATCCACGTTTTGCATTTTGAACTGAAGCTAGCCATACAGGGAAACCACTAATTGTTTCCAGGAGGCTCCTCTTCAAATAGCAGCACAACTTTCTTCTCTAACCAAGTAATCAAACGTGACTCATTACATCCAATTAAAACTCCAAACGCTCACCAGAGAGCTAAAAAAAGGGGTATTTTTCTAGGACAAGTCTGATAGAAGTTTTTGGAAGATGTGTCTCAATGAGGTATTTAAAGAACACTCCGTGCTGCAGAAGCAGTGCTGCCATTTTTGCATTGTCAGGTTCAAGGACTTCTCCAGAACAGACCTCAGCAGGCACAGGTAGTGCAGCACAATTAGGCAGCTCCTGCACCAGATCTGCATTCCAGAACACCCATCAGGACTGCCTGGAGCTGCCTGCCTTTGGTGCTGATGTGACATTTGGACAGGCTATACGTTTTAAGCAGCAAACCCTCTGCAGCAGCACGCTGTGTTCACCTGATAGGGAATGTTCTTTAGCAAGCAGGACATGTCCTGCCTGCAGCTCCTGCTCTGAGTGTGGAACACTGTATGCCAGCTGTTGGAGGAAGTGAGTCACAGAATCACAGAATGGCCTGGGTTGAAAAGGAACACAATGCTCATCTGGTTCCAAGCCCCTGCTGTGTGCAGGTCACCAACCAGCAGACCAGGCTGCCCAGAGCCACATCCAGCCTGGCCTTGAATGCCTGCAGGGATGGGGCATCCACAGCCTCCTTGGGCAACCTGTGCCAGTGCCTCACCACCCTCTGGCTCAAAAACTTCCTCCTCATATCCAACCTAAACCTCCCCTGTCTCACTTTAAAACCATTCCCCCTTGTCCTGTCACCATCCACCCTCATAAACAGCCGTTCCCCTCCTGTTTATACTCTCCCTTCAAGCACTGGAAGGCCACAATGAGGTCTCCCTGGAGCTTTCTCTTCTCCAAGCCAAACAAGCCCAGTTCCCTCAACATTTCCTCATAGCAGAGCTGCTCCAGCCCTCTGATCATCTCAGTGCCCTCCTCTGGACCCGCTCCAAGAGCTCCACGTCCTTCCTGTGCTGGGGGCTCCAGGCCTGGACGCAGTGCTGCAGATTGGGCCTCACAAGAGCTGAGCACAAGGGAGTCACCGTACCTTGGCCCGTTTCTTGCACAGCAGCACAACGATGCTCAGGAACCCAGCAGCAGCAGCGTAGCCAAGGGGGGTCAGGCCGCTCTCAGAAGCAGCATCTACATTGGCACCGAACTCCAGGAGCAAAGCCACCATCTCTGTGTACCCCAGGTGGGACTGCACGCACAGAATTGGGGCGTTGTTCAGAACTTCAGTCCTGTAATTCACGTTGGCACCTCCCAGAATCAGCAACCGACTGACCTGCAGAGCAGAAGGAAAGCGCCTGTTAGCTGAGTGCTGAGGATGGAAACGAGTTTACTGTCAGGGCAATACAGGAATTGAAATCAGAGCCCTTTGTGTGTTTCTAAGGAGATCCATCAGAGCCAGGAAGATCCTCCTCCTGGTGCTGTGGGGTGATGGAAGCTCCCCATGGCAGCTCTGGAGCCCCTCCAGCTCTCCACCCCCCCGCAGTACCTTGATGTTTGGGGTGTAGAGGTTTCTCAGCGATGCCAAAGCCATGGAAAGACCTTCAGTGCTGTAGGAGATCCAAAGCCCTTGCAGGATGGAGGAAGACACCCCAACTTTTTTACTCAGCCCCTGTGAAAAAGAAAAGACAGCATAGACCCAAGTCCTCTCCTTCACACAACACAAGCCCAGCCTGGCAGACTAGGATTAATTCAGTAACCACACTCACACCAATTTAACTGTAATCCCCAAGCTCTGCATGGGAGGCTGCATCCAGGTACCCTAAACCACACCACACTGATCTTCCTAGGCATAAGGACATGGTGCAGTTTGAAGACACAAGATGTCGATGCACAACATCTGCTCTTTAGGGTGAATCAATCTGCTTGTAGGAAACAACCTGCAAAGTTGCTGCAGCCATCTGCAAGGTCTATGCAAGGCAGGGTGAAGCTGCAAGCAGCCCAAACCCGCTCACCTCCCCCAGAAGATGCTGTGCTGAGGCACGCTTCTATTCTTCTTTTTGTATAAAGCACGTCTTATTTTGGCAGAACTGATTCACAGAGTTTCCTTATTATTCACATGCTTAAACTAGATGACAATGCGTGCTCACAACAGGATAAATTAAGGAAGCCTTAACATTTCCATACCTAACACCAGACTGCCTCCAGCCCTTCCCGTTGGTGTGTGTGAGCACTCAAGCAAGCATCCCTCCTCCTACCGAGGGGACAATGCTTAGTAACCAACGTGCCAGCAGACAGACCCAGCACAGAGGGATGTGTCTGCAGCCCTGACACACAGACAGCAGCGTCCAGCAGTGCTGTGTGTACCCCCCACACGTGGTGCTGTTCTGCCACCGATTTACCATTAACTCTGCTGTTTCCATGGAAATTCTACAGCCATTTCTAGCTCTGCCATGATACACAAGCTCTGATTTCTGCTTCCTCACTGCTGTGAGGTCGTTTATTCTATTTATTGCTATTTTGGAAGCACTCTGTATCCCTCTGCAGTGTGGGGCTGTAGGATGAGTGACATCAGCAGACAGTGGAGTCTACTCCATCCCTGGGAGGATGCTCAGAGCAGGATCCCCACCTGCACCCGTGCTGGCTGGGTTACAGACCTCCATAACAAGCTTCTTTTCTTCAAAATTCAGGAAATCAAAGAGAGAGAAATAGCTGCTTCAGCTCAGGGCAGAGAAAACAATGAGGAATTCTAGCAACGATTAAGCACTGCTTTTATGATACACCACATCGGAGGTCAATATTAAATTTCAGCAAACCCAGTCTAGAGCAACTGGGGAAAGGGAAAACAATTTTACAACAATGGTTAAAATAATTCAAAAATAGTTATAAAACTGTCGAACCCACAAATAAGCTTTTTGAGGCATCATCAGGACAGAGGGAGTGAGCACATGCTTTCTGAACAGCCATCAGAAGGTAATCACAGCATCACACCACAGAAATCCCAGCTGGTATTTAGCAGGTTAAACGTGCATGCTCAGGTATGAATGCAATACACAGAAGATGACATTGACTCTTTAGGGACTAAAGACACCCAACGCCATTGGCATCACTGAAACAAAGACAAGGACATCTGGGAAAGTCATGGAATCACAGAATGGCCTGGATTGCAAAGGACCACAATGCTCATCCAGTTCCAACCCCCTGCTATGTGCAGGGTCACCAACCAGCAGACCAGGCTGCCCAGAGCCACATCCAGCCTGGCCTTGAATGCCTGCAGGGATGGGGCATCCACAGCCTCCTTGGGCAACCTGTTTGCAGCATCTCCTTGCTTGGTTTCTAAAATATCTGTTCGCCTGAAGTTTGGGTCCTGCTGTATCATGACTGAGAGTTTCTGTTCTTGCCCTTCCCGTCCACGCCACGCTTTTCCCAATTGGGTTTCCACATAAAATCAAGGAACCACCAAGGCTGGAAAAGACCTACAAGATCATCCAGTCCAAATGTCTGCCTATCACCAACAGTTCTCACCAAACCACACTCCTCAACACAACATCTGAACCTTCCCTGAACAACTCCAGAGTCGGTGACTCCCCCACCTCCCAGGAGCCCATCCCAGCTCCTGACTCTTTTGGAGAAACAGCATTTCCTAATGCCCAACCTCAGTTTCCCCTGGCACAATTTGAGGCCATTCCCTCTCCTCCTATCGCTTGTTACATAAAAAGAAGAGGCCGACCCCCAGCTCACAGCCTCCCTTCAGGTTGTTACAGAGCGGTAAGCTCTCCCTGGAGCCTCCTCTTCTGCAGACTGAACAACCCCAGCTCCCTCAGCAGCTCCTCGTGAGACCTGTGCTCCTGTTAGACTGGTGATCACTTTAAGACACTCAAACATCCATTCTTGTGTTTCCTAAACTGTTTGTTTGAGGATGCTTGTGCTCAAGAAGGAACACCATCCATTCCCAGCCTCAGTACCAGCACTGTGCACCATCCTGTGCCCATCTCTGGCCCACAGAGACAGACAATACCTTTCCCTCACTGATAAACCCGTGTTTTAGTTTACTTTCAAGAGTTTCTTATATGCTGCTGCCAATTCTATAAATCCAATAAACCACATCTCTTACAGAAACCCTAAAACAAGAACAGACCAAATGCTGCTGGTGCCGGCAGACTGCACACAACCGGGATGAGGTTGGAGCAAAACTTCGTTTTCCTTACCTTAAAAATATGTGCTTTGAGAATGTGATGTCCCAGCTCGATCGTTTGCTGTCGGTTTAGTTTTCCTTCCTGACGGGAAAACCAGAAGGCAAGCAGTGTGTGGCCACTCCTGGAAAGAGAAGAAGGAGCACGTCAGTATTTGAAGTCTCGTACCAACAAAAGGGCTTCAGAGAGGAAAGCCTTTGGGAGACAGAGCTGTAAACCACCAAATCCTTTCTATTTTTTTTTAGATACTTATAATTGAGCCCAGTTCATTAGAAGATGCAACGACACAATTAATGCAGTGATATGCTGTCTATGAGCAGATATAAATTAAGCAGTGTTGAAGGAACAATGTCACAAGAGCCACGGTGCTGCTTTTAAAGTCATTCTATGGAGTACGACCCTAATTTGGAGAGCACACTACCAAAGGAAGCCATTAGAAAATGACACATTCACAACATCCATGCTTTGAAAAATGGCCTTTAAATGACAGCTGCATTCCCTGCTGTGTGACCTCTCCTCTGCAGACTGATGTAGCTCTGCACTCACTAAAACTTCTTCCAAATGCAATCTCCACTTCTGCAGCAGCAAAGTGGCCACAGGTGCAGGACCTGCCAGGCTGACAACCCGAAAAAACAGGCTAAGAAACACGCAGAGCTCCTTTAATACTAAACACAATAACAGAAACCCCGGCTGCCTTGGCTCAGTTGCCTTTGCTGACCTTTTTCCATGCCCAAACATCCAGCTCAGGGCACTGGAAGATGGCAGTGCCTTCTCAGACACTTGAGGGACTGATTCTCTGCATGGACACAGAAACACAGTGCAAAAAAGTGACGAGCTGCCAAACATTTTGGGGTGAGAATGGCACGCACAGGTGAGGATGGAACTGCTGGAGGTCCTGTAAGGCACTGTGCTCTGTGCTTGGTGCTCCAGGAGCTGCAGGGTTCTTGGGTTGGACAACAAATACTCTCTTTGTGAACCTTTCCACAGACTGCATTTGCTAAAGAAAGCAACCCAGGCCTTTGCAAGCCGGAGATGCATTTCCCTACTGCAGACACTGCCAGTGCCTACAAAGCACTGGGAGCAACTGAGGCTTTTCCAAGGTCTCCCAAGTGCTATGTGATCAAAAAAAGAGAAATAATGCTGCTGTGACCAAATATGCAGACCATAATAAGCAAAGCAACTCCTAACCTTGACATTGAGGGCAGAGAAGAAGTTCAGATTCTTCCATAAGCCCCTGGGTACCCTCAAGAGAGTCCTTTTTAACTCACTTAATTCCTGGAACTAAATAAGAATGTGACTCCATATAAAAACAACCAAACCCCCTCAAGCCAAACAAAACCAAAGATGATATAAGCTGCGGCTTCAGAAGGGCTTTTAAGGACAGGGAATGTTATTAGCTCATCACTGTTTGGTAAAATACAAAGTGCTCAGCCTGGCCAAAAGGCAGCAAGTATAGCAGCAAGCAGACGTCTGCACCAGGGCAGGGATTTCTCTGCATGTCTCTGCCCAGAGAGAACACCAAGCCCAGGTGCTGCCTGCACGTGGCTGTGCTGTCAAAGCTCGCTGCACAGCAGCATCAGAAGGGAGAAAATGTTGTGTTGAGGGACGTGGTTTAGTGGGAGCTACTGGGAATAGGTGAACGGTTGGACTGGATGATCTTGAAGGTCTTTACCAACCTTGGTGATTCTATGATTCTATGATTCTATGAAAAGGAAAGCTGGTACAGCAGGAGGGCTGGGATGTGGCTGTAGGACGCTGAGCCACCTGGGGCTCATTGTGTTTCCCTCCCCCCTTTGTTCCCCTGTTTTAGAACAGGAGGGGATCCCCCCACACCCCAATTCGTGCCCTTTGGAAGGAGACAGACAAATGGCCTTTGCTCGCTGCGCTGATGGACCTCTATGAAAGCCCACGGAGAGATGGAACAGCACAGACAAAAACAAACAACTGCGCATCACAGCTTGAGCACTGAGAGGTGGAGAGTGCAGCAACTGCCAGATTGCACCCAACCCCATTCAGCCAGATTATTAAAGCTTACCATCACCCCAATACACCCCGTATGTCTGCAGCTCATCAGCCTCATGCTGCTCTGCTTCTGCTCCAGACAGCAGCCAACTTTACAACAAAGGTTGCTGGTGCACATCTGTGCAGAGGCATCAACTCATCTCCCTGTTGCAGGGAGTGGTGGAAAATGGCACGGGCTTTTTGCTCCACTCTGTCCATTGCAAAAGAGGAAATAGCAGCACTTGTTGGAGCAGGGCTGACTGAGAACACTTCAGAAACACTTGGGAAGGATGTGAGCAGAGCCAGGACTGCAGCAATGCTAAGAAGGGGCTGAAGATCGTGGACTGAAGGGGCTGAGGTTGTGGTTTAGTGGGTGTATGGTGATGGGTTGGGGTTGGTCTTGATGATCTTGAAGGTCTTTTCCAACCTTCATGATCCTTTGAATGGGAATGGTGGGAACGGGTCAACGGTTGGATGTGATGATCTTGGAGGTCTCTTCTGACTTTAATGCTTCTGTGATTCTGTGAAGATCCAGAAAGTTCTGCCATGATGATGAGCAGCTCCATGCTGACACGCCAGCCTGGCGTCCCTGCTCTGCTCTGGCACAGCTCTACTGCAGCTGGAGGGCATTTACCCAAATCTGATCACACACACAGCTGTTAGGAATAAGGCATCTACAAACTCTTCCAGAACCAAGCACAGCATTCATGAGTAATGCATTACCTCTGCAATGTTTCCCAGACCTCGGCTCCAGGCTCGCTGATAAATACTTGCAGTCACTTGCCCTGTCAGCACTAATTGCACACTAAAGCAGACTCCAACAGCACAGCCCTTCTTTTTTTTCCTTTTTTTTTTCTTTTTTTTTTCCCCTAACAAAGCAGCGGATGGCAGTAATGATTTCTACATCAAGGAGCTCAGTGACACGATCTGCTTTGAATTTCGCCACTGCAGAGTTTGCCATCACAGATTTTCTATTTTTAATGTGAGATTTCTTCTTGTGAAAAATTAATAGCGCTGCCAGCTCAGCTCTGGGAGCCTTTGTTTGCTGCTGCAGATCATGTGTGACACAGCCAGAGTCTGGCTAGCAAAGGCTGCGCTCAGGGATGGGCACAGAGAGATGGAGAGACCCCAAAGCTCAGTGAGAATCCACTTCCACTTCTGGCCCTTGCCAAAGCCAAACTCCCAATGTACCCCCATGTTTCCTTCTTGCAGCTCACCCCACAGAGCCATCCCAAACCCAGGCACTGTGCCCAGGGAATCTGCTCGTCCCAGAGATGTCCACTCTGGCAGTGCCACAACTTCAGCACAGAGAAAAACTGACATTGATGGAGCTTCTGCTGCCCCAAAAAACACCCAGCACTGATGTATTGACTCCTATAGCATAGCTTCCCTCTGATGTTATAATTGCCAGTTCTCTTGGAAGGAATTACCATCATACAGAGTTAGAAAAGCAACAGTTCTGAACAGCGAACGTTCTTAAACACGACGTGCTATTTCCTACAGAATTAAACACTGCTTTAATTTGCCAAACTCGTGGGGCAGAGCTCACAGCCCAGGTAGAACCTTCCCATTACTGAGGGTGTCACAGCAGAGACAAACTGTGCAGGACCCGGTCAGAAAGCATCACCTGCCCACAGGTACCCAGAGGCATGGCAGCAGTGCCCAGTTCCAGTTCAGGGCCTCCCATCAGGGCTCAGGGGAAGTGCGAATTTCACCACCACAGCTTCAGGTTGCTTCCTTCACTCAACAGTTGTCTTATTCATAGATCTACCCACACCACAGCCACTGTCGGCTATCTGTTATGCAGCAGGAGCCTAAAGTCTTCACACACCCCGTTCTGGGTGCTTCATGTGGCATTTCCAGGCTGAAAGGGGCCACTGGTGGACATCTCAGCACCAATTTTCACAAGGACAGCAATGAGCAGCACGAGCATCCCAACCCCAACACATCTCCATCGAGATGTGTTCGAGATCATCCACCGAGCTCCCTCGGACACCTGACTGCAACTCAACACTTCAACCTCTTGTGCATACAGCAAAAGTGCTCTATGGCTGCCTTCTGGTTTAGCAGAGGCAAAGCACTGCACAAAATGCCTGCACCAAGGTATCAGCTCATTGTTTGCTGCCTCACTGCCATCCCCAGCACCTCGTGGGTCACAAAGAACTGCAAGCAGCAGAGCTGTGCATTGCATTAAGGAGAGCTGAAGAACTGCACAGACCCATGAGAGCTGGCAAGAGCAGAAATGGAATTGCTCAGCTACCCTGGGGTGAAGCTGTGATGAATGAAGCAGCACTGCGGTGTTGGAGGGCTCATGGATGTCTCCTCACTGCTGGGTTGGGACTGAACACTGGGGAAACCAGTCTCACCTACACAGCCACAGCACTGCACACATGGGAAGGGTGGGGATGGGGAATGGAGCCTCCAATGTCGCTGGGTACAGACCATGCTGCATCCACTGTATGGGGAGCACGTGGCCAGATGGTGTGACATGGTGGTCAGAGGGCTCATCTGCAGGACAGCATCCAGGATAATGTACCTGAATCCTCATCAGGAGCCGATCCTAGAGAGCCTCTCCACTGCATTACATGGGAGAATGGCACAGGGTGCCGGGCACTGCTGGAGGGCAGTGAGGAGGAAAAACGGGTGGCATCCTTTGATTCATGGTAACAAAGCAACCATTTAAAAAATACAGAGCAGCAAGGAATAAAAGAGAGAGAAAAGCATTTCGGAACACTTGCAGAGCCCGATTTAACGAGGTTTAAAACCACAGATCCAGAGAGCAAAGATGGAATTCTGCCGTCTCCGCTCAGCTCATAAAGCTTTTCCCAAATCCTGCCGGTTGCCAGGAGCAGATTACTTTGTATTCAGAGTAAATAAGTGATGTCTGAGAGCAGGGTGGAAAAAACTGCTGGCGTAACTTAATGACCACGTTGGGTGGGCTGAATGGGCAAAGCTCTCCGTGAGCTCTGCACGGAGCGCTCGGCACAGAAGCAGTGACACACTTTCTGTCCTCATTTCACCTGCTGTAATTTCTCACATGTAGGATTGCAGCGGAGCGGGGGATGTGACTTGGAAGTGCTTCGCTTCCATTTGCCTGGGAGTGATGTGGAACAACAACGGGGC